AAATGTGCTTAATCATACGTGTGCGCTTCCACACAGTTTTGTAGTGTGTGCATCCTTTGTGGTTCCTGGCAAGTGCTAAAAGTTCCAGGATTGTCATCATGTTGCATGTACAGGAAGGGAGCTTGAATCTCTGCTTCAGAGATGTATTCTGCATTTTTTAAAGGGAGGAAAGTTTATGTGGCATAGGGGAGAGAAAGTGCATTTTGGAGTTAAAGAATAACAGGATGTACAAATCATGCCACATCTAGACAGTGGTGCCCAAGTGATTTCAGTAGACATTTAATGTTATATTTTGTGTGTCTTGGTGAGAATGCACTGCTGTGTAAACTCTTAGCCCATCAGGTGGTCATGATGCAGATATTGCATTCTGTAACACTTTAAGGACCTCTGTGGTCTGAATCAAATTACCTAGCCAAGGACTTGAAGGTGAGTTGCAGGCAACGAAATAGGAGGGATGTTCTGAACCAGCTTCTAGTGGGTCTGTGGAACATGCATGACTGAATCGACTATGAACTCTTGTTCAGAGAACTGATAAATAGCAATGACTGCAGGGCTTTGCAATAAGAAGTACTACCTTCACAAAGAGACATACCAAGCTGGACGCAGATGTGGAGACAGACAGTTCCTTTATCTGTGGAGCAACGTGTGGCCATGACTACTCAAGAGCTCACCATCCCAAGCTGATAGCCTGCTGCACGTAACCAGATTGGTTTTAGTCAAATTACTATTGGGGCGACTGTGCTAGAGGTGTGTGTGTCCAAAGGTACCCTCAATGCTTATTGAAGACGTTGTGTGAATGGTATTCCTCAGTTGCAGTAGGTTAATTCTGGGTTCTTGCTCTTCCTTTTATCCTGGTGTCGTTGCTTACAGTAAGAGAATTCTTTCTGTTGCATGGTGAAGCCTGGATGACTTCTGCAACAACTTTGCGAACATCAGTGTAAATTACATAGAAAGCCACAATGCTGTAGGAGCTCCTGTTTGTTTCTCTAGAAAGGTTTGCTGTTCGCAATGCTGGTGTAAGTCTGTGCATCGTACTACGCTCATTCTAATGTTCTGAAGGGTTTGGTTGTGCCTTTTAACAGCTCTATGATGATAGCAGAAGATACTTCCAGGACAAGAAAAGTTGTATCATGAATGCTTGGTACTAGTCTGGAGTTTACTGAGGAGTATCTGTTTATACCTTTATGTGCAAATTCAGTAGGAAACTGCATAGCTGAAGATCTTGTAAAGAGCTGTGGGACAGAGGAAGAGGTAAGCAGTGGTCATGCAGCTAGTGAGGAAATCAGTCTTGCATAACAGTTGGCCTAGGAGGCTTTATGCCCCTGTTATGAGGAAAGGACTTGAAAATTTGTGTCAGCATACTGCACTTCAAGTTACACCACTCTAGAAACCACAGATTAGCAGAAAACTGCATGTATTCTTTCTGGTTTGAGGGTGTCTTCTGTGGATTTGTACAGATTATGATGCTAAATATAAAATAATATATAAGTATATAAATCATGTTTTCCACTGTGTTTTTGTATTGGGTTTGCCTGGCAAAGTTTTGGTAGTGGGGAGGGCTACAGGGTTGGCTTCTGTGAGAAGCTGCCAGAAGCTTCCCCTGTGTCTGATAGAGCCAGTGCCAGCCGGCTCCAAGACAGAACTGCCGCTGGCCAAGGCTGAGCCTGTCAGTGATGGTGGTAGCACCTCTGTGATAACATAGTTAAGGAGGGGAAAACAACCTGCACAACAGCAACAACAGTTGAGAGAGGAGCAGGAGAGAGAAGTGAGAATATGTGAGAGAAACAACTCTGCAGGCACCAAGGTCAGTGAAGGAGGGGGAGGTAGTGCTCCAGGCACCCGTGCAGCCCATGGTGAAGACCATGGTGAGACAGGCTGTCCTCCTGTAGCACATGGAGGCTGATGGTGGAGCAGATATCCACCTGCAGCTCGTGGAGGAGCCATCTGTTCCTGAAGGACTGCATCCTGTGGGACTTGCGCTGTGGCAGTTCATGAAGAACTGCAGCCTGTGGGAAGGACTCACAGTGAAGAAGTTTGTGGAGAACTGTCTCCTGTGGGTGGGACCCCCTGCTGGAGCAGGGGGAGAGAGGAAGGAGAAGCTGAGGAGGAAGGAATGGCAGAGACAATGTGTGATGAAATGACTGCAACCCCGATTCCGTGTGCCCCTGTGCTGCTGGGGAGAAGGAGGTAGAGAAAATCAGGAGTGAAGTCAAGTCTGGGAGGGAGGGAGGGGTGGGGTGAAGGTGTTTTAAGATTTGGGTTTTATTTCTCATTATCCTACTCTGATTTGTTTGGTAATACCCTCACCACAAAGTCAAGTGCAAATATGAATAGCACAGGCTAATTGTGTGGAGGCTAGCATGTCCAAAGAAGTAATGTGAGCTATCTGTGCCCAAAACAGGTATAAAATTCAGTCTGCAAGTAGCTTCTTAAATTGCAGACTATCATGGGGATCACTTTTGGGGACTTGACTTAGTGGTATGAGAGTCTGCAGGAGCTCTGAAGTGGAGCAGATTGCGCCAGAAATAGATTCATGGAGGCATTGGAGTTGAATATGTGATTTTATTTAATATTTTTCACCGAATTAACTTCTCCTTTGTACCCAGGGAGCAGTTTTTGCTGAGAACAATCCAGTCATAAGGCACTGTCTAATACCTAGAAAAGTCATTAAGCCGTCGTTAGTCCAGATGATGCTTGCTGGTTGGTGATACTAGAGCCATGCAAGGCACCTACTGACCAAGTGTTTTATGGCTGTTGCCATCCCCAGCTGTTTGGCCCAGGCTTCCTAAATAGGTTAGTAGGTTTTAACAGCCAGTAGCACCCCCAAGTTTGTTTTGATTATGGAGAGTGCTTCTTCGTTGGCAAATGGTATCTACCATCTCGATGTTGTCACTCAGCAGTTCTTGTCATTTTTCAATACACGGAGCCCTCAAAATACTTCTAGAGCAAATATTAACTTGCATCTTAAACTGAATTTGAACCTACTGTAGGTAGACCTTTTTTTTTATAGTTACCCATAGTTACCTTTCTGTGAGCTCCTTTGAGTAATACTCAGACAATAAGGGTGGATCAGGTGTCTGGTCATATTTTGGCCCATGAAGCCTTCTTTCAGCCAGTTCCTGGCAAAGCCTCTTCTGTGGCTTCAGAAGGTGTTTCCTTTATTTGCTTATCTCCTTTCCGTTTTGGTGTTGATAACCTGAGTCTCCTCTTTGTGTCCAAAATTTTAAGTTTTTTAATTGCTGGGCTGTTGTCATTGTGAATGTGTTTGAGGCGTTGGAATGACAGGTGCAGACCCTGAAAGGCAAGAAAAGTAACAAGAGCTTTTTATTTACTATTTAGTTTTAACAGTAGTGGCAGAGAGCATTTTGCTTCCTATAGCTGTTGGAGTGCTGTCTCCGGAGTTCTGCCAGCTTCGAGAAACCCTGAAGACAGGAAATGCTGCCTTGCCTTCCTACCTGTGCTACCTGCTGTTGTCTTCAGACAGGCTGAAACTGCAGTGGGATGACTTGCCTGGAGGTCTGCCTTTTGTTTCCTGTATGAATGGAGGAGAAGGGATGAAAGCTTGTAAGATAGGCTAATGTTATGTACCTTGGTGCTGTTAAGTTGTCATGCTGTCTAAGTTTGTCCAGCCTAGAAAGGGAACACATTGGTAAGGAACCTGTTTTGCTTTGATGTGGCTTGTAATTTGCCTTCTGCTTATAAAAGCTATATCCAGGAGGGAAGGACCTGACAAGGACAGGCTGGAAACCTTGGTTGTGCATCTCTGTCTGGCTTGATGTTAAAAAAGGAGGAGAGAAAAAAAAAAAAGGCAGGGAGAATACCTGTTTGCAAAATACAGTCTTGGTGGATAATGCATTCAGGTATTGTGTGAACGGAAGAAAAGAGCGACTGTCTGAGTAGCGGGGGTGAAACAATTCTACTGCTTTCTGTACTCTCAGTGGTCACTTTTTTTTTGTTTTACTTTTTTTCCCTCCTTGGTCTTACTTCATCTCCATAGTGGAAATATGTTCCAGGGTTGCTGAGCTATAAATTGTTTTCCTCAATCATTTTGTGTAGTTGTTTTTGTGGAGGCTGACTTCTAAATCTGGATAATTTCTAATGTGTTTGTTTTTTTAGTTATTGGCAGTTAATTCTGGGTACTGTGGCTTAACTTGGACTTCTTGGAGTCATAGAATCATTTAGGTTGTAAAGGACCTTTAAGATCATTGAGTCCAATCATTTCTTGGGGGAAGTACGCAAGCTATTAGCACTGTGAACTTGGAAGCAAGAGGAAAAATTGCGGTGGTCTTCTGGCTACTTCTTGTGAATGAACCATAAAGCTCTGTTGTTGGAGAGTACTAAACAATCAGCAGAAAGACATGTTGCAGCACACTTCTGCATGGGTTTATTAACTTGCTGTGTCTGGAACCATGGAGGGTTCCAGATGGTGGCTGAGGAGGCAGCAGTGAACAGAGGGACTGTTTAGAGGACGCATTACAGTCATGGAAAGTGTGTGAGAAGTGCTGGCTGCCTCTGACTGGCTGGAACGTGGAAGAAGCAACCTGGAGACGCTGCGATAGAGGACAGATTTTGGAAAATACAGTTACTGTTTGCTGTTTGAGATGCATGGAGTTCAGGGAAGCAGAGAAAAATGCTTCTGACTATAACTGTGTGTCCATTTTTATTTGATGTTACATGCAAACATGTTGTTGCCTTTCTGATCTCTGCTGGTGTGCAAGAGCATAAGGAAGGGGCTCAAGACTCTGGTTTGGACTGCAGGTAAATCTCATGGCTTTCCAGCATTGTCTCCTCCTCCCTCCCCCCCCGGCTTGCAAATCCTCTGTTATGTCTTCCTCTGCCATAAGAAGAAACTTGGTGTTTGCTAGTCTCTCTCTCTGAACAATGCAGAGTGGTCATTCAGTGTCCAAATGACAACGGATGGTTTCTGAGCCTGCAGAGCAATCTGTGAGCCTAAAAGTGCTTCGCACCGACGATGTCCTGGTTTTGATGGTTTATTTGTCCTTAGGGCTTGCTCGAACCCTTGTCTTGTGCTGTAGTGGTATCAGGAATGACCATGAGAGATTGGGGTCGCGGAATAACCTCTGAAGCACCTGAGTTGGATGAGGAGGAATTTGGCTTTGTGACAGCACTGAAACTGGGAGGTGACAACCAGTTATTGTGACTTTAAAAGACATACAGGTCACTTGCATAAACAAAGGCAAGATGAAGTGTGGTCTCTGGGGTGAAATAGAAACCTAAGCAAAATTTGCTAGGTTAGGGCAGATTTTTTTATTACTTTGTTTTTGTTCAGGAGGTTGTCACACAGCTTTCTCTTCAGTCCCGTCTTCCTGGACCCAGGTTCTCTCCACAAGTCTGCTTGTGAGTCAAAGGCTGAGAACAGTGATCTATAATGCATGTATCTACAGCTATTAAAACATTTTATTAACAACTGAAGTCCCACTGTTTTTATCTGTTCTTAGCTTCTTTCATCTCAGCATGACCTCTGAAGATCTTAACTGTGGTGTATACTACAGCTTTCTCTGTGCTGCTTCCTTGCTGTACAGCATGCTGACACAAGGTATAATTCAGTGTTAGAACACTGAAAAGAAGTGGCAGAGCTCTGGGAAGGAGGCACCTCTGCATCCCCGGTTCAGAGGGCTCTGCTCCTCCCTGCTAAGTGCTCAGTTTCATTTTCTCACTGTCGTGTTTTCACTGGTGTGTTTGGCAGTAGGTGAGCTCTTGAACAAATAGCAAAAATACACTTTTCTGTAATACCTAGGAGATGACTCCTTAACGTTGAGGTTTGAGCAGATTCAGACAGAGTACAAGCTTGTTCTTAACTGATTTACATGGGCATAGTTAATGAGAAATATTAGGCAGCAGTATTGTAAAACTGAACAAGTAAAACTTTAATGTGGAAGCCAGTGAAGACATGAGTGCAAGCTCAGGCTGATATCAAGTCAGATGCTTCCTGTGCAGTTTCTCACGTAGCTTATGGACCGGGTAACTGCACCTGGTGTGGATTGCAACCGGAGGCTCAGCACTGGGTAGCTGTACTTTTGCCTCAGAAGACTTCTGCCTGGCCTTTGACAGACACTTTTGAATACACAGCTGATGCTTAAAGATGATGAATCAGTTGGTAGTATGGAAGGTACAAGGCTGGGTGTGAGAGTAATCAAAACCTAGGAAATTCTAAAGATATTAGTAGATCAGGTAGTAGCTTCTAACTACTTGGATGAGTTTCATTTAGAGTATTTGAAATACCAGGGTTCTGTGAAGATGGTGCCTAATCAGGCAGAAGTAGTCATCAAATTTGATAGAATGATTACTGCCTGCAGAGATGGACTTGATTCATTCCCCAGGAAGGGTTGAATGGGTAAGAAGACTGAAGGTGTGCACCTGAGGTCAAATCTAAAGATTTTTTTTTTCCTTCCAGTTAGAGTAGTTTTGAGCGCAAGATCTCAGTTATGCAAAAGAGTATTTGCTGAATTGAATTAGGAATGTATTTTTCTAGTAGACTGCATGCTTGAACAGAGGGTGATGTGCATGAAAGATGAGTAACACACAGGTATGAAGAGGATAACAGTCTAAATATGTACATGCATTTAGAAAGAAACTGTCTTATTCTTGAAGGTCTTGCACCTAGAGAATTTCTAGGGGAGGTAGAGAAGTGCAAAATACTGTAAAGCCTTAAAATAATACACAGGCAATGCTTATTGGTTCTGTTCGCTTCTGGCTTTACCCAGGTAGCTGGGACAATGCAGAAATTCTAATAAGAAATCACATTGTAAGGTAAATAGTTCTTCTCCTGGGACTTTGGAATTTAAAGTTGTTGCCTGTGTGTGTGTGGTGGTATAAGTCCTGTACTTGGAAACTGCAGTCTAAGTTAATTGAAGATATGATAATAAGAGAAAACTAAGACTTGACATTTGATTTTTTTTCTTTTTTATTCCTGACTTCTGTGATTCTGATATGATTCTGACCTGTGTACATGGATGCAGACGATGGCACTACTGTCTATGAGCAAGTCCGCTATTGGTTTGTTGCATAAAAATACAGATGCTCTGTACTCTTGGTGAAACTGAGATTTTTGGAAAGACTGTCATGTATAATTAGTGTGCCTTCATGAAGTATGAAGTCAGCTGTTGAATAAACTAGTTTTGGAAACACATCTGTTTCTTCTGTTTAATAGTAGTAAACTGAAGCTAATCTTTACAAATGCGGTTGGATGCTTGTTTAAAATTATTTTCCTAGGAAAATGTTTTCAGTATCTGTTTTTGCCTGGCGGATATCGCAGACTCTGAAGTCGTCTTTGTTTTCGAAAGGAGTGACCTACTGACTTTTGGCTTGCACTGATAACTGTTTTGGTTTTTTTTTTAAAAAAAAAAAAGAAAAAAAAAAAAAAAAAAAAAAAAAAAAAAAAAAAAAAAAAAAAAACAC